AACTCCTGGATTCAAGTAATCCTCCCATGCCAGCCTCCCTAGTAGCTGGGACTACAGGTGCCTGCCACAAGGCCTACCTAATTTTTGTATTGTAGAGACAGGGTCTTGCTGTGTTGCCCAGGCTGGTCTTGAACTCCTAGCCTCAAGCAGTCCTCCTGCTTCAGCTCCCAAAGTGCTGTGATCGCAGGTATGAGCCACTGCACCTGATTTCATCTGTTAATACTTTTCAGGAGGAAGTATAAATTGATTAAACATTTTTGTAGGCATTTGGCAATATTTACCAAAATAAGCACATATGTCTATTGGTCTAGAACATTGATTGACAGGAATTTATCCTGTATGTAACGTATACAGAGGAGATACAAAACTATTCATTGTGACATTTGTAAAACAGTGTAAACAAAGTTTGGATATTCACATAAAAGGAATACTATGAAGAGCGTAAAAATATTTTGTTGAGGGAATGAACCAAGACATAAAACAGTACAGCGTAGGACAGCATGAAGAAGGATGAATAATAGTAACACATACTATTATTTCTTGAAAAAAAAAAATACAAGAAACTGACCAGTTGTTGCTGGAAAAGGAACTGGGAAACTCGGGGTCAGGAGCAAGGCTTACTTAATCACGTTAGACCTTCCATATTTTTTGTTTGTTTTTGGGCTAATGTTTTTTAAGTCATGTGCCCATATTGCCTGTTAAGCGCATTGGTTTGAATAAAAAACACTGTTTTACTTCTCCCTTTAAATATGACATTTTTGGACAAGGCTTGTCATCCCAGAATACTCTTGCTAAATAGAGGTGGTACTGTAATGTTGGAAACTTAGTCTTTGTAATTCATTTTTGACATAGGTGTAATTGTATGCCGGATCTCAGTAAAGGCTAGTCATAATTAGTATTGATTTTTTTCAACTTGTTTAGAAATATTTATTGCTTATTTTATGACATTTTATTCCAATGATTTGCAAATTGATGTAATCGGTATGAATTTTTCTTCAGTTGTTTTCTTGAATTGTATTGGTGGTAACATTTTGGTAGCTCTCATTGAGGAGAATGCTTTGCAGGGGTTAATTTTGTTTAGTTAAAGGAAAAAAAATTAACAAGACTTAGAGAAACTAATAGTAATGTTTCTTTTGATCTGGACAGATTTGGAGGCCAATCACTGCCACCTTTTATTTCCCTGTGGGTCCAGGAACTGGATTTCTTTATTTGGTCAATTTATATTTCTTGTATCAGTATTCTACACGACTTGAAACAGGTATGTTATCCATAGTTGTTTTAAATATTGTTTCTTTCTAATTTGCTAATCCATATATTCACTTAGAGGAATTTGGAGGACAGTTAGCATTATGTAAAGAAATGACATAATGATAAATTATGCCAGTCAGTGACTGTACTAGGCACTTAGATTACTCAATTTTTAATTCTCACAACATCCTGAGGTATAAGTAGCAGTGTCATCATTTTATAGGTGAAAAAATAGCAGGTCAGAGGTTTAACATGTCTTGGCTATCTCCTTAGTGGCTAATCTGTGTGCCTCTCACTTATTTTGACTATCTCACTCAATTTTGTTACAAAGCAGTCCTTGTCCTTTAATGCAAAATTGGGCTCCTAAATTGGGGTTGAAAAACACTACTTTTATGCAATTAAAAGCCTAGCCTTATCTGTAATTGAAAAACTCAACTTTAAAATCCAGCATATAGCCTGGATTTAATAATATAGTAGTTTATCAGATATGACTACCTATATGATATTATGGATAAGCTATAAAAATATTTTCTTAAACATATTTTATTGTTTATTTCCTATAATACTTTATAGTCAGTTCTGGGTAGATAATTTTAAACCATGGTAGTGTGCAAGAAGACATGAAACTCTCAAGCCAAAAGCCAACAGTATGCTGACATTTCTAAAAGTCTAAGAAGGTCATCTGCTTCAGCCACTGTTATTTAGTGTTGTTCGGGGGGTACTAGCCAGTGGATTAGACAAGAATGAAGTAAGATACAAAATTATTTACATAGGGTTGTATGCTTGAAAGCCCAAGGGGCTTAATTTTTAAATATTACAAACAGTAAGATACTCAGCTTTGGTGGTTGGGTATAAAAAGATAGAAAAAGATAGCTCTATAGAAAACTATAAAAGCTATGAAAGACTTCTTGGTTGGGAATTATATCAGTATCACATTGATGTAATAAAGATGTTCATTCTAATTTATTTAGAAAAATAAAATGTTGAGACTAGCCAAGAAAATTGGGACAATTGTGGAAGAAAAAGGGGAGGGAGATTATTTAACTATTGAACTTTATCAGGTACTAAAATATAATAGTAGAAATTAAAATAACTCGGTATTGGCATAAGAATCAGTTTCAGACAGAATAGTCCAAAAGTAGACCTTAACATAAGAGAATAAATATTTGGTGAAAGTAGCTTTTCATATAATTGGAAAAAATGTGGATTACTCTCTAAATGGGGTTGGGAAAACTGAGTGACCATCTAGAAAAATAAGTTGGCTCTCTTCCTCATTCCTTAGATGAACCATGAAAGTGCTACAGTAAAACTGTTAACACTTTTATATTAGAGTGAAAAGATTTTCTTAAACTGATATGTGATGGATACATTTAGTTACATTTAATTAATTAAACTTTTACATGCCAAAATATGGCAAAAATACATGAAACTCTAATGAAAGACCAAAAAATGTTTGAAACAATGAGAAAGAGAAATTTCATAATGTATAAAGAAATGCAAATCTACCAGAAAAATGAATAAAGGAAATGCTGAAGTTTTTAAAACATAAAAAGGTGCTTGATTTTTCTCATAATGTACATAAAAATTAATTTTCAGATGGTGAATATAAAATACACTAAATGGTGAGGATATAAGAGAAGACAGGCATTCATGTACTTTTAAAAACTTTTTTAAATTTTTAATTAATTATTTTTTTTAGATACAGAGTCTTGCTCTGCTGCACAGGCTGGAATGCAGTGGCCTGATCATAGCTCATTGTAACCTTTAACTCCTGGATTCAAGTAATCCTCCCATGCCAGCCTCCCTAGTAGCTGGGACTACAGGTGCCTGCCACAAGGCCTACCTAATTTTTGTATTGTAGAGACAGGGTCTTGCTGTGTTGCCCAGGCTGGTCTTGAACTCCTAGCCTCAAGCAGTCCTCCTGCTTCAGCTCCCAAAGTGCTGTGATCGCAGGTATGAGCCACTGCACCTGATTTCATCTGTTAATACTTTTCAGGAGGAAGTATAAATTGATTAAACATTTTTGTAGGCATTTGGCAATATTTACCAAAATAAGCACATATGTCTATTGGTCTAGAACATTGATTGACAGGAATTTATCCTGTATGTAACGTATACAGAGGAGATACAAAACTATTCATTGTGACATTTGTAAAACAGTGTAAACAAAGTTTGGATATTCACATAAAAGGAATACTATGAAGAGCGTAAAAATATTTTGTTGAGGGAATGAACCAAGACATAAAACAGTACAGCGTAGGACAGCATGAAGAAGGATGAATAATAGTAACACATACTATTATTTCTTGAAAAAAAAAAATACAAGAAACTGACCAGTTGTTGCTGGAAAAGGAACTGGGAAACTCGGGGTCAGGAGCAAGGCTTACTTAATCACGTTAGACCTTCCATATTTTTTGTTTGTTTTTGGGCTAATGTTTTTTAAGTCATGTGCCCATATTGCCTGTTAAGCGCATTGGTTTGAATAAAAAACACTGTTTTACTTCTCCCTTTAAATATGACATTTTTGGACAAGGCTTGTCATCCCAGAATACTCTTGCTAAATAGAGGTGGTACTGTAATGTTGGAAACTTAGTCTTTGTAATTCATTTTTGACATAGGTGTAATTGTATGCCGGATCTCAGTAAAGGCTAGTCATAATTAGTATTGATTTTTTTCAACTTGTTTAGGAATATTTATTGCTTATTTTATGACATTTTATTCCAATGATTTGCAAATTGATGTAATCGGTATGAATTTTTCTTCAGTTGTTTTCTTGAATTGTATTGGTGGTAACATTTTGGTAGCTCTCATTGAGGAGAATGCTTTGCAGGGGTTAATTTTGTTTAGTTAAAGGAAAAAAAATTAACAAGACTTAGAGAAACTAATAGTAATGTTTCTTTTGATCTGGACAGATTTGGAGGCCAATCACTGCCACCTTTTATTTCCCTGTGGGTCCAGGAACTGGATTTCTTTATTTGGTCAATTTATATTTCTTGTATCAGTATTCTACACGACTTGAAACAGGTATGTTATCCATAGTTGTTTTAAATATTGTTTCTTTCTAATTTGCTAATCCATATATTCACTTAGAGGAATTTGGAGGACAGTTAGCATTATGTAAAGAAATGACATAATGATAAATTATGCCAGTCAGTGACTGTACTAGGCACTTAGATTACTCAATTTTTAATTCTCACAACATCCTGAGGTATAAGTAGCAGTGTCATCATTTTATAGGTGAAAAAATAGCAGGTCAGAGGTTTAACATGTCTTGGCTATCTCCTTAGTGGCTAATCTGTGTGCCTCTCACTTATTTTGACTATCTCACTCAATTTTGTTACAAAGCAGTCCTTGTCCTTTAATGCAAAATTGGGCTCCTAAATTGGGGTTGAAAAACACTACTTTTATGCAATTAAAAGCCTAGCCTTATCTGTAATTGAAAAACTCAACTTTAAAATCCAGCATATAGCCTGGATTTAATAATATAGTAGTTTATCAGATATGACTACCTATATGATGTTATGGATAAGCTATAAAAATCTTTTCTTAAACATATTTTATTGTTTATTTCCTATAATACTTTATATGCTGTCCTGAGTTGCTTACACTAAAGAAGCAATAAATTGATATGCTGTGTCAAAATACGACACAAAATAATTTTACTAGATTTAAATGATTTTTGAAAAGGTTGGCTGACTTCATGGACTTTATAAACCTGCTGGCTGTTAGCTCAGGATAGAAAATTTTAAACCACTCCAATTCTATGTCAATGCTTATATGTTTTGAGAATTGTGAATCAGTTTCATAACTGTAGGGAAATAGGATGGGCATTTGGTGTCAAGTAATTATAATTTTTTTTTAAATTGCTTTTTAAAAAGAAAGAAAGAAAAATTGTGTTAATACAAAGTGTAAGGTCATAGACTATTACTATGGAGACTGTTACTAGCTCATTTCCTGAGTTTTACCAGAGGATAAATAGGCGATTCGAGGAAGTGAAGTGGGCCTGGCACAGTGGCTCATGCCTATAATCCTAGCACTCTGGAGGCCGAGGCAGGAGGATCACTTGAGGTCGGGAGTTTGAGACCAGGCTGAGCAAGAGCAAAACCCTGTGTCTACTAAAAATAGAAAAAATCAGCTGAGCATGGTGGTGCATGCCTATAGTCCTAGCTACTCAGGCAGTTGAGGCAGGAGGATCACTTGAGCCCAGGAATGTGAGGTTGCTGTGAGCTATAATCACGCCACTGCACTCTAGCAGGGGTGACAGAGCAAGACTCTGTCTCAAAAAAGAAAAAAAGGAAATGAAGTGGCTTGGCTGAGGTGAAACTGACAAGTAGGCCTCTCACCACCATGTCAGAGGTTTGATCCTTAAATCTACCAGAATATATAATTTTCATTCTGCCATATTCTGGTTGGACCTGATTATGATGCTGACTTGCTTTGCATTCTACCCTTCTGGTATAATTTAATTGGGGATTAAGTTGTTGGGGTAATTTTTTTTTATATCAGTAGTAAACTCTAGATTAAGTGTGGATGATCAATTATTTAAAATTTTATTTTGGAAAATTTTCAAACATACAAAAGTAGGGAGAAAAGTCGATGAACCCTATTTTTCTTTTAATTGAGATCGAATTCACATAACATAAAATTGACCATTTTAACCATTTCAAAGTGTACAATTCAGTGGTCTTCAGTATATTCACAGTGTTACGCGACCATCACCGTAATCTAATTCCAGAACATTTTTATCACTCCCCAAAAACCCCAGAGGAGTCAATCTGCATCCCTTCCCTCTTCTCCTTCCAGCCTCTGGCAACCACTAATCTACTTTCTGTGTGTATGGAGTTTTCCTTTTGTGACTGGCTTATTTCACTTAGCATGGTGTTTTCAAGGTTCACTCATGTCATAGCATGTGTCAGTATAAACCCCTATTTAACCATCTAAAGTTATCTCATAACTAGTCTTGTTTTATTTATATCCATGGCTGTCCCCCATCTCACCCCTAATTATTTGAAGCAAAATGCCAGACATGATATTATTTCATTCATAAATATTTTAGTATTTACCTCTGAAATATGAGGACTTAAAAATAATTCTAGTACTATTATTAAACCTAAATTGCAATAATTCCCTGACCTCTTTTTATAAAAATTGTCTTTTCTTGTTTACTTAAGGTCCTTGAACCCAGTTTGCCATCCCTGTTACCTAGTCAGGTTATACAGCTAATTTGCAACATTATTCAACTTGAATACCATTTAAGGCAAATCTATGGGATTAGGCCCTTGGTTTCTTTTCTTTTGCTTTAAGTTGCTCCTTTATTCCCTACTTTTCAACCACAGAGCATTTTGAAATGCTTGAGCTGAGGAGCATTTTTTTTAAACAGCTTTATTGAGATATAATTCTTATATCATGTAATGCAGCCATGTAAAGTGTATAATTCAATGATTTTTAGTATATTCACAGAATTACACAATCAACTTTATAATATTTCATCATCCCAAAAAGAAACCCTGTACCTCTTAGCAGCCACTTGCCATTTCCATTCAATCCTCTCTTTCCCCATAACCCTTAGGAAACCACTAATCTGCTTACTGCCTCTTTAGATTTGCCTATTCTGGATATTTCTTATAAACAGAGTCATATAGTGTATGGTCTGTGGTGATTCACTTCTTTCACTTAGCATAATGTTTTCAAGGTTCTTCTGTGTTGCATGTATCAGTACTTCATTCCTTTTTATTGCCAAATAATATTTTACTGTTTGGATATACCACATTTTATCCATTCATTAGTTAATGGACACTTGGCTTCAGTTTTTGGCTATTATGAATAATGCTGCTGTGAGTATTAGTGTAGAAAGGAATCTTTGAGAGCATTCTATTTAACCCTCTTATTTCACAGACAACACTGTGCAGAGTGATGGTGACATGTTCCCAAAGTCACAAAGCTATTTGAGATAACACAGCAAGGACTGGAATCCAGGTTCACTGATTCCCAATTTTCTCTCCACCATACAGCCTTGACATTTTGACAAAATGTTTGCCACCTGCATATTCTGCCTGGCTAAATTGTTAGGTATATAGCAATATTGGCTTATTTATGAGGTTTCTGATTTGAACTAGAAAGACTTCAATTTGAGACCAGTTAATTTGTAAATTCCCAGTTGCAAGCATGCCAAATAATATACTGTAGTTTATGTGATTATAATATTTTAAGTACTCAATTTAAAGAATCCGTAGAAATCACAAAGCCAAAACCATATCAAAAGAAGCAAAACTATTATTAAAATTCAGAAATTGTGTTAGAATTTCAGCTCTGATTCATCATAGCATTAAGCCTGCTTAACACTGTGGCTGAAGTGTGCCTTTGAGGTAATAGAGAGAAATAAAGGAAAGTAGGAGAAACTTGCTGGAAACTCATTTTCTTTTAGATAGATCTTTCTGCCTTTTTGACACTCGTTAGAATTTTTTTTTTAATTGACTAGCTATATCACATAACTGTGAGGGGTTGTGGAGGGGGGAGAAGGTAACTTTTGAGCTAGAGTGGTCACTTCTGTTTCTTTTCTCTGCTTTTCTTACAGTCTTCCAACTGAAAGCATTAGGAATCATGCTTAAAAGAGAAAGCTGGGCTGTTGTTGATTACTCTGCCCAATAATAAGACAGAGCTGGTATAGGGTGTAGTGGCAGGAGCACCATAATAGTAGTTAGACTTCATTCTGCTTCTAACAAGCTCTGTGACTTTGGTCATGTAACTTTATTTTCTCATCTGTAAAAAACAGGTTATAGGTCTTTCTATTCTACCTCCCTATTGCAGTATGAGGGTGAAGAGTCAGAGGCTATAGAAAGGTTTGACTGTCCCTGTATTCCCCTCTTCTCCCCACATCCTTGTTTGCTAGAGTGTAAGGTCCTGGAAGGCAGACTGTCTTATCTAAGCCTAGTGCCGGACAAGTGGTTGTGTGTGTATGTGTGTCTAATAATAACAGTATTAAGTACCTCCCAACGTAGTCATGCTGGAGGAGGCACATGGTAGGCAAAACAGACAGGGTTCTTCCTCTGACAGAGCTTGTGGTCATGGAGGGAGAGGGAGACAGGGATTAACCAGGGAATCCCAAATGTGTCCATCAGGTCATGACAAGAGTCATGAAGGGAAGCGAGGAGACTGTGAGGGAATTGGGGAGCCTCCCTGGTCTTTGGGATATGGGGCTCAATAGCTGTGGAGTTGACTCTCCTGTCTTTGGGTCTGAGTTAGTCCGCTGTGGAGCATGTCACTCACTAGAATTCGGTTAGGTGAGCTTAGGGTAGCCTTCCTCAGCTGACTTTGGTTTAGGGCTTTATTGAGGAAATAGTTTACATATTTTTAAAAATTCACTTTTCTTGAGAGGAGTGATTTTTAAAATAGTCTCATTTTGGCTTTCTGTGTAATTTTTTGAAGTGTTTCTCTACATAGATGTTACTTTGTTCTGAAATTCTGACATTTGGCTTATTTTTGTTTCAGGAGCTTTTGATGGGAGGCCAGCAGACTATTTATTCATGCTCCTCTTCAACTGGATTTGCATTGTGGTATCCTTTAATCTGTTATTTTGGGCCAGAAATGAACCAGTTTTTTTCAGGTTTGGGGAAATAGTATTCTAAAAAAATGTCAAATTAACAGTATTTACATCTTCATTTACAGTTAATAATTAAGAATTATGTTCTTTTTAAATGCTGTAGTAAATCATAAGCCCTTGAGTAATGCATTTTCCCGCTGTTGCCTTTGTGAGATTTTTCCCACATTTGGTTGAGTTTTATTACTGTTCCCTCTTCTTGTTCCCAGTTCTCTGTGTTCTCATGTGTGACAGCTTGTTGACTGAAGCACAAAGAGATTTTGTGCCATGAGACAACTTCTGAAATCTGTGGTCCTTATCAGAAAATTAATTTACAACCAGCATCCTTCTCTGACTTCATTGCTGTCCTTCTCGTGGGGTCCTAAATAGTAACTCAGTCCCTCTGTAAAATACCCAGCTCTGGGAATGGCACAGTAAGTCTCTCTGCTTTGGTACCAACCACAGTTGTCAGCAGCCCTCCAACCACGGAACTCTTACAGATGGTGAGAGCAGCAGAAGCTCTTGATGTCTCAAGCCCTGTATAGACTTGGTGAGCTCACAATTGCCTATGGGCTCAGCTTCCATTTAAACTTGGCCAAGAGCCAGAAAATGTGGCACTTTGGGTACCCTTTCCCCTCCTTTAAGAGAAGAAAAAAATTGTTTTGGACTTTAGCCATGTTGTAGAGCCCTGAATGAGTAGAATCATTATTTCTTTCGAAGGGTACAGGCATCTCCATCCTCTATTTGAAGGAGAGATGCTAAAATTCAGGGACAAAGAAAGAAAAAGAGGATGCCAGGTGACCAGTCAGTCATATGCTGAAACTGTTGATTTCTGCCATTTCCTTGTCATAGTATAGTCATGGAATATTCACAATGAAGATTATTAGACGCTTTTGTGTTCTAGGTTGTTTTAAGCAATCTGAATTACAGAAAAGTATTTTCCTTCAGAATACTGGAATGAAATTAACTTTTCAGTGGAGGGAAATAACCAGATCAGTCTTAACTAGGTACAAAATGCTTTGTTTATGTCTGATCTTTAACTTTACAAACCAAGATTACTGGCTTAGCAATGGACATGCAGGTAAGTGTCCCTTTAAACTATTTATTGACTCTTTTATGTGTTTCAATTTAATAATTAATGGCCTTTGACAGAAGTTGAAATTGCATTAATTATGGTTAATTATGTGGTACTTTGAAATTATAGAGTTATAGCTTTTTTTGTGATGATCTTACATCAGTAAAACCTTTGAAGATCTCACATGAGTTATCTAAATCATTGCTTTTCTTGCTCATTTCTGGATTCTTTATTATGCTAGAACATTTAGAATAATGGTTCTCCAGTATTTCGTAGGCATGTATTTTTTTAAAAATTGAGATTATATGCTAAGTACAGCTTTGTTGCCTACTTTTTACAAGTAATAGAGCTTGACCCTGATATTTCTGAATCCATTTAAGATAATATAATTGTGTATTATTATAATATTTTGTAGTCTTTTTATGTATAATTTGTATGATAAATAATAGGATCAATTTATCATTCCGATCAGTTGAATTTCCTTTTACCCACGTGGGAATTTTGTTTTTGGAGGGAAGGGGTCAAAAGTATAGTAGTAGATTTACGCTAAGCCTCTTTTTGAACTGCCTCTGGAGCCTAGTTTTTACATGTTGACTTATTTTGCAGTTGCTGATGATTCCTCTGATCATGTCAGTACTTTATGTCTGGGCCCAGCTGAACAGAGACATGATTGTGTCATTTTGGTTTGGAACACGATTTAAGGTATAGTTGGAAAAACTTGCTTTTCATTTGTCTTTGCAAAAATCCCTTTCTTCAGTTCAGAGATGTACTTTCTGACTCGTCCAGAAGAGGTCACTGCAGAGCAGTATACCATAGGGAAGCCCCTTTCTCCCCTCAGTCAGCTATATTCATTAGCCAACCTGGAGTCCCTTGCTGACTGTTGTTACTTCTCCACTCCCTCTGTACCTCAGGATATGTCCCTGAGTGATCTCATATATATATGTGTGTTAGAGAGACAGAAGGAAAGATACTGATGTGAAACCCTTTAAAAATTTTTTCTTATCACTCCTTTACTCCTTGTTATGTGCTTTACACTGTAGCTAAAACAGATTGTTTTTTACCTCCAGATAATTCCCTTTGTACCTGCTCTGACAATTTGCCACCTGTAACATCTTCTTGATTCTTTTCCTCATATAAATCCTATCC